AGCACGCAAAATGAACTCGTGAACCTTGTCCATAGCGTCTTCTGTCTGGCCAAGCGTCGTTAGATTTAAGTGATGCCAAGCTGACAACAAATTGCCTTGTTGAGCTACTTGCTGGCCGTTTAGGACACGAGGGGCAGATTTTGAGCCGCTATGTACTGGAGGGGAAGATTTTGAGCCGCTATGTACTGGAGGGGCAGATTTTGAGCCGCTGTGTACTGGAGGGGCAGATTTTGAGCCGCTATGTACTGGAGGGGCAGATTTTGAGCCGCTATGTACAGGAGGGGCAGATTTTGAGCCGTATTTTAATCGAGGGGCAGATTTCAAACCGTTCAGGACATGAGCGTCAGACTTTGAACCGTTCAGGACTTGAGCGTCAGACTTTGAACCGTTCAGGACATGAGCGTCAGACTTTGAACCGTTCAAGACATGAGCGTCAGACTTTGAACCATTCAGGACATGAGCGTCAGACTTTGAACCATTCAAGACATGAGCGTCAGACTTTGAACCGTTCAGGACTTGAGCGTTAGACTTGTAGCTGTCTGTAGATGTAAGCTGCTAGTCCGTTATTTACATAGAGATGTTTTTGTTTCTTTCTAGTGACACATTTTGGACACTTCTCATCCACGACATAACGAGAACACATTTAGGACACTTCACAACCAAGACAGAGCAAGAATATATTTAAGACATTTTAAAACAAAATCATAGCAATGATACGTCAATATCTAGGATTTCTGATCGATTGTTTAAGTAGATATCGTTCTCAATATGATTATATATTAAAATAATCGTTATGATGTAATAGCATATTACTGCAAGTCAGAAAACCGCTACTGAATACAAGTCAGAAAACAACTACTGAAACTGCAGCTGGAGGTCCTTGATGCAAATGACGTGAGAAACTCAGCCATGAAGACCTTGAATTGCTGAAAGTGCGTCAAGTTGTTTGGCCTGTACTTGTTCCAAAAAAAAGCAAGACACGTTTGGATCTGAAGGCCTTTAGGTGGGTGTATAGATTAGAAACTAGATTTTACTCTCCTTGTAGTTTTAGGTTCAGAAAATTTAAATGACTAGTTAAAATTTTACTGCAGCAAAGGCCAGTTTCCATACCCCCTCTTCATCAGACATAGGCTTGCCTTTACTTTCCAGGAAGTCACCTATTTGCTCAGAACTTTTCCACAACTTAGCCATATATCTAACTGCTGTGAAATATGGTAAATCTTGCGATTCTGTGTTTGAATCTTTCAAAAGGTCTCTGAACCGTCTATGGTTGTTAAGCCCATCTGACCTTATTAAATTCACTATCTTCACCACAGGATTCATTTATTTATTATGCATATAATTAGCACACGAAGTTTGCTGGTGAATAATACAGTGCAAGCACATTGGTTGCAGAATGTTGTTCTCATTAGCGAGTCCATTCAAGCATATCTTTGTGCCACTCATGTACTTTTCTCTATTAACAGTCAGTTAACTGAGGTTAGTCCAATTCAAGTTATAATCAGCAATTTTTACTTTCTCGTATATACTAAGTATAGAGAAAGTCTTGCAATCGTGCACAAAAATCACATTAAATTTTGACAGTTTTCACCGTTTTACTCCCCAGTCCTTCATCACATCCGGGATGTAGAGGACTTATTTTAATCGGGCAAAAATTATAAATCCAAATATATCAAAATTTTGGCGTTTTATGCTTAATGGAGTCGGAAAAACTGGATTATCCAATTCTGTCCGTATGTCTGTGTGCCTGTGTGTAAACACGATAACTTGAGTACCGTTACAGCTAGGTTGATGAAATTTCATATATATGTATTTTATAAAAATCGTAGATCCGTATCAACTTTTGAGCGATTGCCGATAACCGGAAGTGGTACTTTTTTCACTTTGAAGTTTTCAAAAGCTATAACTTGAGTACTATTTTAGATAGATAAATGAAATTTCACAAGTAAGTAAAAGATCTAATCCTCTACCTTCTATCAAATTTTGAGTAATTTCCGTTGACCGAAAGTAGTAATTTACGCTATTTCTGATTTCTCAAAAAACGCTTGTAAATGGACACCAGCGAGTTGAGGAAAATCCTTCCGTAATGTTGTTGACATGGAATAAAAATGTGCTTTTTACTTTCTCGTATATACGAAGTAGGGCCTATAGAGAAAGTATTGTAATCGTGAAAAAAAAATCGAGATTTTTACAGATCTCGACGTTTTACACCTCACTGATACGGAAAAACATAATTTTGCAATCTTGTCCGTATGTCTGTGTGTGTGTGTGTGTGTGTCTGTCTGTGTGTCCGTGTGTAAACACGATAACTTGAGTACCGTTACAGCTAGGTTGATGAAATTTCATATATAAGTATTTTATCAAAATCGTAGATCCGTATCAACTTTTGAGCGATTTCCGATAACCGGAAGTGGTACTTTTCCTACTTTAAATTTTTCAAAAGCCTATAACTTGAGTACTATTTCAGATAGATAAATGAAATTTCACATGTAAGTAAAAGATCTAATTCTCTACCGTCTGTAAAATTTTGAGTAATTTCCGTTGACTGGAAGTAGTAATTTACGCTACTTCCGATTTCTCAAAAAACTAATGTAAATTTTAAAAGTACTAATAATATTGCGCACTATTATGCGCTTTTTTGTTTGGCGTTCACTTGGTGTGCAATTAATTTGTCTACGAGATTTTATTCTATTTTTAAAACTTTAAGTATTTAAAATGGATTAAAAATCATGTCTATAGCCCGAGTTCCCATCCCCTGTTATTTTATATAAGAATATTCGATAAAGTTTAGGGGAGATCACTCCCGGTTTATTTAGATTAAGGACCATAAAAATAATAAAAGATAAATTTTTATTAAAAACTTAAGCCTAAAATTAATTCAGAAATTTAATATTTTTAGAATCAAGTTGCAGATCCAGAGAACTTGAAAATAATTTGTTGAGTTTAATGCTACATTTCTATTTATTTTCATCAAGCCTAAGTTATAACCCGATGTTTCACTTTCGTAAGACAAACATTGATTGGCTGTAAAGGAACTCCGTGATCGATTTCTGACAGCCCCACTTTATAGTTATTTTGTTTACAAAACTTTGCAGATCACGTTTTTAAATAACAATGCAAATTTAAACACCACGACCTAGTTTTTCTATTTTTAGCTTACAATGTGTACAATAAAATTTATGGCGGCCTATCCAATAGTAGGATGCCATTGTTTATGTCGCCATTACACGTGAAAACCAAATTGTTTTTTGCTTTTTTTTTAAAGTTTTATTTAGTTACCGAAAATATTAAAAACATTAAATACATCAAATCTTTAGTAAAGTTCGAAAAAAACCAGACAGACAGGATTTTATAACCATATTAATTGTAACTACGCCGTGCAAGATTTTTTAATTAATTTATGGACCTCTCAAATACCTTTGAGACTTTTCTCGCTGGTGTCCATTTATAAAGTACTAATAATATTCCGCACTATTATGCACATTTTGTTTTCGCGTTCGCTTGGTGCGCAATTCTTTTTTCTATGAGATTCTATTCTATTTTAAAAATGTTATGTATTTAAAATGGATTAAAAATCATAACTATATCCCGAGTTCCCATCCCGTGTTGTTTTATATAAGAATATTCGAGAAAGTTCAGGGGAGATCACTCCCGGTTTATTTAAATATATCCTCTCCGGTAAGTGTATTACATGCTATGTAGGAAAGCCAGCTCTTGTGCTATGTTCATCTTTTCATCCACACCTCTAATGAGCACAAGAAGTTGAGGTGGAACAGTTGTCCAGCGACTCATCCATTGCAATTAAAAATTCGCGAAGCTAGCTTGCATTATTCGCTATTTGAGTCAAAATGCTTTCACCAATGTCTGCAACACGGCGGAATATGGTATTTGCAAACAAATCTACATTTTCTAATTGTTTCGAATTTTCTGGGCAAAGTTCCTCAACCATCTCCAACAAACTTTTTTTTTCCGTGGACAAAAATATCTCCACGAGCCGGATGAGAGGACCTTGCGGGCCACTTCAGTTTGGAGTCCTTGAACTAGACCATGGACTGTAATGACGGGAGCCTGAACTAGACCATGGACTGTAATGACGGGAGCCTGAACTAGACCATGGACTGTAATGACGGGAGCCTGAACTAGACCATGGACTGTAATGACGGGAGCCTGAACTAGACCATGGACTGTAATGACGGGAGCCTGAACTAGACCATGGACTGTAATGACGGGAGCCTGAACTAGACCATGGACTGTAATGACGAGAGCCTGAACTAGACCATGGACTGTAATGACGGGAGCCTGAACTAGACCATGGACTGTAATGACGGGAGCCTGAACTAGACCATGGACTGTAATGACGGGAGCCTGAACTAGACCATGGACTGTAATGACGGGTAGGTACTAGTTCATTTATCGTTTATACCTCAAGCTCGGTAGGGAAATTGATAATTTAACGTGTATATCAAAGCTAGTGGCAGATTTTTTAAAAATAATAAGCTAGAAGTAGATAATTTGTTGTTCATGCCAAAAGTTAGGGAAATAAATTTGATAATTTGTGGTTTATATCGCAAGTTAATCATCGGATTTTAAAGTAAAAATATTTTTAGTTAAAGCTTAATGAAGAAAATTCATAAGGTACTCAGTAGTCATGATATTTATAATTAAATATTGACTTACTCTTATATGTTTTTCACAACATTTACATATTAAAACGTAGAATGTAAAACAATTATATTAATTTTTAAAACTGTAAAAGTGTCTACCAGTTTAAAAAAAAAATCAAATTTTCCAACTAAACAAATGTGGTTACTAAAATATGTCATGGAATGTGTCATGGAATGTGTCATGGAATGTGTCATGGAATGTGTCATGGAATGTTCCCGAATTGTGTAACATAATACGTCTCAGAATGTAGGTCATAATGTGTCACAAAATTTGTCATGTCATGTGTCAATGACTTTGTTACAGCATGTGTGTGTGCAACCTGTGGGTTTGGATTGTTAGGAAAATGTTGTAGGTTCCATTTGGTTGTGGCAGCTGTTTTTGTTGCTTGAGGGTTTGGGGTTTAAGGGCTTACTCTTTGAGGGTTTGGGGTTTAAGGGCTTACTCTTTGAGGGTTTGGGGTTTAATGGCTTATTCTTTGAGGGTTTGGGGTTTAAGGGCTTACTCTTTGAGGGTTTGGGGTTTAAGGGCTTACTCTTAAGGGTTTGGGGTTTAAGGGCTTACTCTTTGAGGGTTTGGGGTTTAAGGGCTTACTCTTTGAGGGTTTGGGGTTTAATGGCTTACTCTTAAGGGTTTGGGGTTTAAGGGCTTACTCTTTGAGGGTTTAGGGTTTAAGGGCTTACTCTTTGAGGGTTTGGGGTTTAAGGGCTTACTCTTTGAGGGTTTGGGGTTTAAGGGCTTACTCTTTGAGGGTTTGGGGTTTAAGGGCTTACTCTTGTCAAAGGCGAGTGGCAGCTTGAACCCAGAGAAGTGGGGCACCCAGTCATGTGACCGGCCTGTAGGGTTGAACTTGGATGGTCTTCTGCTCGACGTGACGTCACGATCAGTGCTCGGCGCCGACCTAAACCAAGTAAAACAGTTAACTTCACGGTGGTCCGCGCTTTCATCGGTGAGGTTCATATTGGTGGAGCAATGTTTGTATGGCTCATGATGGTGGAGCAATGTTTGTAGGGCTCATGTTGGTGGAGCAATGTTTGTAGGGCTCATGTTGGTAGAGCAATGTTTGTATGGCTTACGTTGGTTGGCGTTGGTTGGGCAATGTTTGTATGGCTTAGGTTGGTGGAGCAATGTTTGTATGGCTTACGTTGGTTGGCGTTGGTTGGGCAATGTTTGTATGGCTTAGGTTGGTGGAGCAATGTTTGTAGGGCTCATGTTGGTGGAGCAATGTTTGTAGGGCTCATGTTGGTAGAGCAATGTTTGTATGGCTTACGTTGGTTGGCGTTGGTTGGGCAATGTTTGTATGGCTTAGGTTGGTGGAGCAATGTTTGTATGGCTTACGTTGGTTGGCGTTGGTTGGGCAATGTTTGTATGGCTTAGGTTGGTGGAGCAATGTTTGTAGAGCTCATGTTGGTAGAGCAATGTTTGTATGGCTCATGTTGGTAGAGCAATGTTTGTATGGCTTACGTTGGTTGGCGTTGGTTGGGCAATGTTTGTATGGCTTAGGTTGGTGGAGCAATGTTTGTATGGCTTACGTTGGTTGGCGTTGGTTGGGCAATGTTTGTATGGCTTAGGTTGGTGGAGCAATGTTTGTAGAGCTCATGTTGGTAGAGCAATGTTTGTATGGCTCATGTTGGTGGAGCAATGTTTGTAGGGCTCATGTTGGTGGAGCAATATTTGTAGGGCTCATGTTGGTGGAGCAATATTTGTAGGGCTTACGTTTGTAGAGCAATGTTTGTAGGGCTCATGTTGGTGGAGCAATGTTTGTAGGGCTCATGTTGGTGGAGCAATGTTTGTAGGGCTCATGTTGGGGGAGCAATGTTTGAAGGGCTCATGTTGGTGGAGCAATGTTTGTAGGGCTCATGTTGGTAGAGCAATGTTTGTAGGGCTCATGTTGGTGGAGCAATGTTTGTAGGGCTTACGTTGGTGGAGCAATGTTTGTAGGGCTCATGTTGGTGGAGCAATGATTGTAGGGCTCATGTTGGTGGAGCAATGTTTGTATGGCTTACGTTGGTGGAGCAATGTTTGTAGGGCTTACGTTTGTAGAGCAATGTTTGTAGGGCTTACGTTGGTGGAGCAATATTTGTAGGGCTTACGTTTGTAGAGCAATGTTTGTAGGGCTCATGTTGGTGGAGCAATGTTTGTATGGCTTACGTTGGTGGAGCAATATTTGTAGGGCTTACGTTTGTAGAGCAATGTTTGTAGGGCTCATGTTGGTGGAGCAATGTTTGTAGGGCTCATGTTGGTGGAGCAATGTTTGTAGGGCTCATGTTGGGGGAGCAATGTTTGAAGGGCTCATGTTGGTGGAGCAATGTTTGTAGGGCTCATGTTGGTAGAGCAATGTTTGTAGGGCTCATGTTGGTGGAGCAATGTTTGTAGGGCTTACGTTGGTGGAGCAATGTTTGTAGGGCTCATGTTGGTGGAGCAATGATTGTAGGGCTCATGTTGGTGGAGCAATGTTTGTAGGGCTCATGTTGGTAGAGCAATGTTTGTAGGGCTCATGTTGGTGGAGCAATGTTTGTATGGCTTACGTTGGTGGAGCAATGTTTGTAGGGCTTACGTTTGTGGAGCAATGTTTGTAGGGCTCATGTTGGTGGAGCAATGTTTGTATGGCTTACGTTTGTGGAGCAATGTTTGTAGGGCTCATGTTGTTGGAGCAATGTTTGTAGGGCTCATGTTTACTCACGTGCCTATGCCTTGTTCCCCAGATTGAAGCCACTGGGTCAGGTTGTGCTGGCGACCACTGCTGGTCAAGTCACGAGGCCTTAAAGAAAGGCTGACACATGCGTACCACGAGACGAAGCCCACCACAAGCAAATAGTACATGGCCACCAAAAATAGGATTTCAAGTACATTGCCTCACAAGTTCTAATCTAAAGCGCCACTAAAGATTTCATTTAAGATAGATACATCGCCACACCAATTATGGAAAGTGTATCGCCCACATTTGTGAACTAGAACTAGATCTAGTAAAGACTTGTCAATACTAAAACGCTTCCGTATTTTAGTACTTTGCACACACCAATTTGTTGCGTAGGAGATAAAAATAGACAACAGAGGTGCGATTTCTCTCTGTTTATGGTCAATTGTTTAACATAATGCTTAACAAACGGTTTCAATTCCAAGCTTTTATATAACAAAGCATTAAAAGCTTATAAGTCATTAGTTCTAAAATTGCGTAAACAGTCATCTGTTCCTACTTAGTTCAAGGCTTACGCTCAAGGAGGATATTAAAAGCTTAAAATTTGGATTACGCTTACTATTTGAGTGAAGCTTACTATTTGAGTCAGAGGCGTAGCGAGGACGGGGTGGGGGGTGGGGGGTGGGGGGGTGCGGACCGCACCGAATGACACCATTTAGGGGGTGACACCATAACAAAAAATAGCCAAATGCACAGACGAAAAATGCATTTTTGCCAGTTCCATTAATGATTAATTCAAGCTAAATAATCTGTGAAGTACAAATCGACAATTATTACAAGGGAGTGGGGGTGATACTATGACAAACGTGCTTACTATAGAGAAAACAATTCTACATACAACTGCATTATTAACAAACTTTAGATAAACATCGTTACTGTTAATTAACACACACACACATAATATATATCACACATATTATATATATATATATATCTATATATATAATTCTCTTCTTCGAGCCGTTAGAAAACAAGCTGCAAACGCTCTCCCTACCTCCCCACCCCTACATGGTTTTAGTGAGCTGTGTTCACTCTAAATGTTTACAAGCAGAGCCAACGATTTTAAACGTAGGGGGGGGGGGGGGAGGGGGGGGGGGGAAGGAAGGGGGGGGGGTTATGGTCCTTAACGCGCTACTTATAGTGTTTTAAAGAAATATTTTCAGTGTCAGCGTTGGTACTGTCGAATTCACAAATTATGAATTATTGAAAATTAGAAACAACTAAATAGCGGCGTATATTATGCCGCGGGCCGGCTCGTATATATATATATATATATATATATATATATATATATATATATATATATATATATATATATATATATATATATATATATATATATATATATATATATATATATATATATATGAGTGGATGGGGTTTCCTGATGATTATAATAGTTAGTCATTTGTTAAAAGGCGAATTTATCATTTAGTTTCGTTTTAAAACCTGTTTGTGTTTATTTATTAAGTTGTCCAAAATTATGCCAACGTCGTTTGACTGTCTCTGTCTACTGCTAGCCTGTGTATTAAGACATGAATATGTTACGGTCAAAGCCCGCATTGACAGGCCATTGTGAGCATTGGCCGGCTTTCTTGGCCAAAGCCCGAAGAGCTTAGCACTGGCCAAAGTCCGGCCGGGACGGGACGTAATGGCCAAAGTCCGAAGACCTTTAACTTGACAGCGTTTTTCTTACATTGGCTGGCCAATATGCGCATTGGCCTGGACGTGATGGTCAAAGTCCAAAAAATTTAAAATTGACGAAGTATTTCATACATTGGCCAGCTAATGCGCGCACTGATGTTCTATCTAGACTAAGTTGTGACGCGTTTTCATTATTCTGGGTGCGGTTTCATTGCGAGCAACGTGTTGTTTGTATGGCATTCTATACGCAATGTCATGCTCCCTCATTCTTGTATGTGGTCTTTCTGGTGCATCAACGGTTGCCGGACTGAACATTTGCTGGAAGCTTCCAAAAGTTATTACAATGAGCCGCATAAACAACTATTTGAACTATTTGAAGGACTACTTTATGTATGAAATAGAACTGTGCTGTTTTCACTCAACTTTACTGTCACTTTTTACCACTTTTTACCACCTCTTACCTGCTTCTTCAAGGTCGCGCTGACCGTAAGACCTACGTCACGAGACCATGCGAGCACAGTCTGAGTCGTGTCTCTCGGTCAAGGCAGTTCTACAAGTACAAGCGCTGTTTAATTTTAACGTGGTTATTTTTAATAAGGGCCTACTTCTAGATTCAAGAAAAATAACTAGATCTGCATCGTTTTATATCATTAAACAAAATATGTATTCCTACTATAATTTAGTTACGCCATCTAGCAGGGTCTACATCTAATTGTGTTTTTTTTACTTTGGTAAAACGTCATTTAAATGTTTAAAAAACCTAGAAAAACCATGTTTGAGAAAAATAGCCGCTATCACTGACCCCTCCCAACCGCTTATAAAAAAATCCGCTTTTCACTTTGGCGGGCGGCTACATCTCTGACATGAGTAATACTTGTATTTCTTTACGTCATCATGTATATCAAAGGCTGGGACATTGGGGTCGTCCATAAATGACGTCAAACTCGTAAGGGGAGGGGTCCGTAATTGTGTCTTGAGGAGGAGGGGGTGGGGTTCACACTTTTGCATTATAAAAAAACTATGTTAGAAAACGAATTTTAGCCGTTATTTCGCGTTTTAGAATATTGTTTCAATAAAGTGTAATAGGAATTGATTAAAGTACTCTATTTTGACAGAGGCCAGACAAGAATTTTGGAAAAATATCGTATTTTAAGAAAAATTCGACTTCGATTTTTAGGGGGGGGGGGGGTTGTAGGCTGAAGTGTGACGTCATTTTAGAGGGTGGGGTCTGGCTTTTTGTGATGATATGTGACCGAGGGGAGGTTGGAGGAAAAAAATCGTCAAAAAAAGCGTGACATCATTTATGTATGACCCCAATGGTAGTTGATTGGGAAAACAGGCTTTGGGTTTTTGTTGTGGCTGTTAATAATTGAAGCCCCCTGAATAGCTACAGTAAGTCAACCCTATATTTAATACAGTGACAATCTTATTAGGGGTCTGCATATAGTGGGCTTATTATTCAATAACAAGAGGTAGAGGTTAGCAAAATATTTGTTAACAGTTGGCTGACTTCACACTTTAAATCGAGCTAGGAAGTTTAAAAAAATTAAATACTTGGGTATGTTATAAAAGCTGGTAGGGGGGAGGAGAGTTCTACAATAGCACATTATGGGGTAGG